TTCCTTCACGCAGCCATGGTCGTTGATGTTAGCCACCTGGAGTGGGGAAGGGGTTGGGATGGGGGTTGGAGGATTTTGATGAGGTTCTGAAAGGCTCTGACCGCTTCCCGGCGAATATGCGTTGTGGGTTCCACGCATCTCGGGAGTAAGCACGAATACTCAAAATCAAACCCCATCGGTGCAAGATGGTCTACCCAGAGCCAGGTAAAGAATTAAGTCGGCCAAGGGAATGAGAGAATGACCCCTATAAACCATCCTGTATGGATTCCTTCAAGGGAATCTCTAGGTTCATTCCCAAAAGGCAATTAAGAACCAGCAAGTTTGGGGGTATTGCTCTGTCAGGGCTTCTGGCAAATCCAGTCTTAAGTGTCCATGGCCAGACTTTCAACCTGCAACCTGCTTTTTTGCCTCTGGCAGTCTCAAGCCAACAACAAAATCGATGTCGGAACACACACGATCTTACACTGGTCACCAGTCCCCTGCAGCCCCTCCCCCCTTTTCACCCACTTCCTTCAAGAACACTTCCTGAATGCATTTGCCACAAAACAAGTCCAGGAACTTGTGTACTGGCCCGAACCCCAAAAAATCAATCAACATCCGTGGTCTTCCAACAAAGAGTCCCCTCAAACGTCCGAACACCGGCAGCCTCCGGGCGTGAGGAACCCTCCGGCCCCGGAACTGAGAGCGAGCGCGCGAGGTTTCGGACTGGCCTTGAGAGGCGCCTGCTTGTAGGCGAGTCGGAAGCCCAGGGGCGCCTTGCGGAAGAACACCGTGACCTCCTTCTCCTCCTCGCGCGGCGTGCACGCGCATGCGGGGCACGCGGGGCGCAGCATGGGACGCGGTTGTTTTTGTTTTTTTTTCCGCCGAGGTGGGGGGTCGCTCCCCGCTTTTAACGCAACAGCCACCACAAGAGGGAAAGCGGAAGAAAAAGAGGAACCTCCAAAAAAAGGGGGCGTTCAACAATTTCGGGCCAGAAGAATCCTCACTCCAAAAGGAAACTGGCTGGCTGGGGACCTAAAAACCATGTTCGATGGGGAACCCAGCAGGTTGGTTGCAATATGTCTTACGCAGGCCACCACAAGAACACTCTTGAGGATTCATGTTTCCCCCATCGGAAGCCTAGAGCAAAAACACAATCCATCCCCGACAATTGACGTATACCATGTGCTATTCAGCACCCAAGAATCAAACAAGCCCAAGAAGTCTTGGTTGCTGTTGACCCGCTGCAAAAAGTTTAACTTTTTGGGGGTTTGGTGGTAAGCCGCTTTATTTCCCAAAAAGTTAAAGTCTAAAGGTCCAACCCAATAGCCGTCAAGAAGTATGCCCAACACCTGCTGCCAAGCTGCATCCGTCAGAAACGTGAGTCTCAGCAGCTTCTGCGTCCTAAGCTCCCTCTCGCTCACTCATTGTGCCGAGGCCAAGCAGCTCTAGGGGGGCATTCCCAATTCTGTGCAACAACGTTCTTTTCAAACACCTGCCTCTTTTTTTGAGTCTTTGGCGGATTTCCAGTTTTCTGGAGAGATACTATCCTATAGCAGTGTTCTGGATACTCCGTGCGCTCAAAAGGACTCCAGGAGGAGACAAATGGCATGCTTCAAAGGGGACCAAGGACATGGTCTTCCTCCTTTTGGTTTCGCGACAAAACACAAAAACGAGTCGGTTCTTGTTCGCGGTCGCTTGCTTGAAGAGATGCCTCCAAACCTGGGCTGCCCTCAGATCCCCCGCTAAAAGTTTAACTTTTGTGGCTTAAATGGAAACTACCACTAAACGCCAAAAGGCTAAAAAGCTAAGGGGATGGCTGGGAGCCACCAAGAAACGTATCCATGCCAACTCCCACTGTCCAATTCTAAGGCCACAGGAGTTGCATCCAGCTGAGGCGCATCAGGTCATCAGATACAGCCTGGGACTGTGACGCAATTGTCCGCAGAAACGTGTCAACTTTTTTTAGTAACACAATACTGTGGATGGACGAAATCCGGCAGAAGCCATGAAAACCACTGCTTGTTGGTATTTACAGGGGAATCAGAATCCAGGGGTTCTCAGGTGGTGCAGGATTTTGTCCTATCCACAGTATGGCTACTGGTTTTAGCGAGGAACACCCGGAAATGGTTGGTGAGGTCTCCAAGTCAGTCATGTCAATCAAAGGCTCCCATCCTTATATCTACCAATATGATCCAACATGCCCAAACAGCTCCACCATACGCACTCACAACCACCCTCAGCCCACGCAGCCAAGGCCGCATACGGGCATGAAAAACTGGGTTGACGAACCCTGGCATGTACCGGGTTAGCGACCATTCAAAAACCCGATTGCGGAGAAAGCACTTCTTATACTTCTCAATGCGTGGGAACTGGCTTGACCCGTCCACTTAACATTCTGGCCCCTCAGTCGCCCTTAGTCAGTGAAACTTACAATGCAAACTCATTTCAAAAAACTCCCAAATGTGACCACAGCCTCGCGTGGCCAACTTGAGGCAATCAAAAAACCTCTTCAGGCAAGCTACGGCGGTTCTTGCAAGTGGCGGATGCTTCAAAGCAAAGCAACCTGCAGTTGCTTCCTCAACCCTGTTCAGGCTTTCACCATTGGAATCATTGGAAGATATTCTTTTGTGCGCCACGCGCACATATAAAAGCGGCAATGACTGTTGTTCCTGGACAACGCAGCCGGGCAGTGTGAAGGCCGTTGGACAGAAATGTATCAGGTGATCAGCTGAAAGGTGAACCCCAAAATAGGAAACTAAACGGTGAACGCGGTTGATTCGCTTCGGGGTGAGAACCATTCTGTTCAACCATTGTCTTCAAAACTAGCCTTTCCCTGGGTTGTCGTTTTCTAGAAACAAGCATCCCAACAAAGAATCGGAAAGGTGCCCCTAGAGCAGGGCGTTTGTGACAAAGGAATAAACCGAAGCCTCCGCATCAGTCAATGGCCGGTCCTGTAGTGAATACTCAAGCTACCGGAAAGGCGTGTCAGGACTCCGAATACTCAGGTCGACATCCGATTTCATTTCAACAGCAAACCAGAAGAAACGAAACCAACTGTGGATGAACGAAATCCTTTTCGCACCACTTAAGAAGCCATGGTTGAAACCACAACGTTGCTTGGTCGTTACAGTGACATCATTCTTAGGGTGGTGCAGGTCTGTATTGTCTACCCTTCTCAGGGGTCACCGGACTTCCCAAACAGTCGCCGGTGGATTCCATGGAGCCGATCGCCACAGGAGGTTCCAAAAAGGGACATGGAGGAAACACAAGCCCCTGCTCCAAATGCCCTCTTTTTTTAGGGTATGATGTCTAAAAAGGAGGTATTTACCATGGTTTTTCTAAAAAAATACCCTGAAAAAGTGGGTATTTGGAGTAGGGGGAACTTTTATGTGTTGACCCTCTCTTGGAGGGTTCCTTCTCATCTGATCCCCATCTTTTGCAGGCCACTCTGCCACTCTGCCCTTCGATCCCATTAGGTTCCTTCGATACGTCACATGACCCGAGCCCCAAATCGCTTGTGACGGATCCGAAGGCTTCCGAGCAGCGCCAATAGATTTGGCATCCTCGGCGAATGCCGCGAATCGTCCCATTCCAAGCCCTCCCGCCGCGGGGCTCCCTATGGCAACCATTGGCAACCTAAAGGGGTCTATGGCTTTCAGGAAATCTTTTGGGCGCAGAAGGAAGGATGGCCATACCGAAAACTCCATCCATAGGGCTCCTACTCGTTTGGCCCTGAAGTTTGAAGTCCGGCCAAGGTTCAGCGACGCAGAGGCAACATCACATTCCTCAACCTACCACACACCCGTCCAACATGCGAGAGCGCCGAGCTTGCCCAACTTCTGCGTTCGACCTTGCTGCCCTTCGTGCCCTGGCTGCCCCTTGATTCCCATAGTTCCTGAGTGGGATCCACAAGAGTCCGAACTTAATACCCACCAATTAACATGGAACCATTGGAGGGTCCCATCACTCGACAATTATGGTCTTCCAGGGACGTAGCTCCAGGAACTTGAGTTCCCCTGCTAAAAGCCTCGACTAAGAATTCAAATCCTCAGCTCCTTTCTTCTCTCGTATAGCCTTCCTCAAGCATCAAACATGTTTGCAAAAACAAAGGAAGGGAGCTTAACTTCCATTTGTTTAAGTCCCCTGGAAAGAACAACGTATGTCCATTAGTGATAAACTGCAATATTAAAACAAAACAAAAACATGGAAAACAACACATATTGTTAAGCAAATGAAAGCAATGGTACCCTCGGATCAACCAACTCCAGTTGATTTGATTGATTAAATCGTGGGGACGGGATTGTTCCGTTTTGGGGGGGAATCTTCACGCTTAAGCTTGGTTACGTTGGCCGGAAAAATGCTCCCATCAGCCCAAGGGGCTTGGCAAGCGCAGCAGTGGTTCCCCATGCTTCGCAGGTGGAAAAGAAAGGCTTGCTGGTCCCTGTATGTGCTTGGGCCGGCAACGCGGCGCGGCGAATTTCCGGCAAAAGCGGCCGCTGAGTCGGATGGGTGTAAAGTGGCTTAGAATCACAAACTTATCTTCACAACGCTTGGTATGGTAGCAAAAAACATTGTTTTTGGCCACCCCGCTCTAAAACCGTCGTGTGAGGAACTTACAGGAAAAGGCAACGAAGCTACAACACCTGACCACCGGGGACCCCTGGATCTTTGATCTCTTCGGTGCCAAAAGGTTTATCTAAGAAATCATCTCCACGAAATTATTCTGGACATTCTTGCCAAATAGCTACGAAGACTAGGGCTTTGGGCGAACTGCATGGATACTTTTCGGGAGATAGAGTTTGGCCTAACGCCACCTACTACTGTGGATGGTTGCGAAACCCATCCATTTCGCACTATCGTTCAGAAACCCTGGTTTGGCTGTTCGATTCCCCACCGCAAAAACCAACAAACGTTCTGATTTCATTTCGTGGCGTCATAGGCTCATTAGCTGAAGCGGAATGGATTTCGCAACCATCCGCAGTATCGAAGCGCCAAACGAGCAACGCCCCCTAGCGCACCGAGTCGTCATCTTCATCGGCGATAGCCTGAAACGACAGCTGGGGCCGTGACGTGACATGGACTGACAGCAGAGCCGTGGGTTTGTCTGCTACACGTGGTGTCCCTTCATTGGTAAGGGTGAGACTTGTCGCCTCCGTACTTGCCAGCGCCCAAATGACACCTCATGCCAACCTTCACTCTGTCAAGTGGCTACCACTCACTTCCGCCTTCCGGAGCGGATTGGTCCAAACTGGTCATTTACCGCTACAATGATATGGCTGTGGCTCAGAAAAATGTGCCAAAATGGCATCTTGGTAAATGGAACCAAAGACCAAAACCTGCGTAACCCCTGCTTAACTTTGAGCCACAGCCATTTCCCCTTGAAACATCACCCCTAAGGAACCCGGCCAAAAGGATGTTAAAACCACAATATACTTGAACAAAGGACATAGGCATAAGAGAGTTGATCGGCTTGTGACTGAGGAATGGGTGTGTCCCAAAACAGTGAGAATCCAAAAACACACTAGCCCTCAGTTGATCAGCTTTTGTGACCTTGACTGGGCCAAACGTTCGGAAACCACAAGTTGTCATTGGCTTTGGGCAACGAAGGCACAAAGGAGACCAACCGTACCCGTACCCAAAACAGTGGGAATCTAAACTTGTCTTCCCCACTTCGAAAAGTCCAGGAGCACCACCTGCATCCCTGTGAGGCTAGTGGCCATCTTTCGGCAGTCGGGCCCCAAAATGAGCGCCAAGCCAGCGGAAAATCAACCTCTCAGCTGTTCATACGGGGCCTGCCGCTGAAAGGATATCCCAAGGCAAGGCAGCAAACTGGCATGGGACCCTGCCCCAGTGGATCCCAGCCACAGGGAATTCACCCGCTGTTGTCCTTTTGGTTTCTCTATGGTGGTTCCAGTGCTTGGGTTACCTATACAGGGAAATGGACCTACGGGGCGCATCAAACAAACATGTTTCACGTTCAGTGGGCTTTGGGTAGGCCCATTTCTGACAAGACTGATCTCAGCTGTGGCAAAAGGTGGCACGCAGAGACAGGCCAGGCCTCTTTTGGTTGGTCTCATGCCTCCTTTTGGCAATGATCCGATCTTGCGCCATGGAAACAGCGCGCGATGCTGCTCCAAAAGCATATGCTTGCCCTGTTGCCCCTGCTGTTGCTCAAATATCCCGCGCGCCATGGTACTTTTCGCATGGTGCTTAAAAAGGCACACATCCCAAAATAACATGTGCATGTTCAGAACAGCATCAATCGAAACAGGCCAGAAACTACGATCTTCGAAATACATCGGTTGAGGTCACGAAGTTCATTTCGGTAAACCTTCTAAAAGGGTACGTTGTGGCTGTTAACAAAGCTCACGTCCTGATCGGCATAGCCAAAAAACCAACAACACTTTGTTCCTATTGCTACATAATGGCCCTCTCAAGCAGTGTGAAGATCAAACACTTTGGCGGGCTTATCTCTGGACGCGTGACAGAAAAGACCGATAGAGGAAACCAAACGATTCGAACGGAAAAAGCATGATGCGAACAAACTGAAGGTGGTAAAAGATGAAAGGTTTGAATGTGAACAAGTCAGGCTGGTCGCATTCTGTCAGCAAACGCAAGCAACTGGCATGAAAAGCACCCCAAAGACACGTTCCTTTTTGGTTTTGCTTTCAAACCAAGCCCAAAGCGGGTGCCAACATAAAACACACAAATGAGAAACCGGGGTTGTGCCTGGCTTGGCCCCACTTCGGGGTACACAAGCAAGAAGCACATGTTCTGTTCAAATTACGTTACACGTTCCCAATTTAGCCTACCCCCCCACCGCCCCCCACAAGCAAAAACAAGTTGTTTTTCACGTGTTCTTCTGTTTGTTCCTTAAAAACCAATCAACCGATCAATCAACCAAACAACTAAAGAGAACCCCAGAACCCTCCGCCAGGTTTCACCGGAGTGCTTTCCAAAGCTGCCCCAGAACCCTCCGCCAGGTTTCACCGGAGTGCTTTCCAAAGCTGCAGCAAGACTAAAACCTGCGTAACTGTGGCTCGTTTAATAATTTTGAGCCAGACCCAAATACCAACAAACAAGAGGGTTTCCCATAGTTTCTTAGGTGGTGCAGGATTTCGTCCATCCCCAGTACCGAAGGACACAAAGGATACCAAAGAAACTCAAACAACACAAAGGCAACCAGAGGAAACCAAAGAAACCCAATCCAGCCAAAGCAGACCAACAGAAACAAAAGGCGACCAAAGCCAACCAAGGCAGCCAAAGGCAACCCAAGGAAACCGCAGCATGAAGGAAGCGAAGAATCCCAACGAAAACAAAGGACACCAACGGAAACCAAACAAACCCGCAGAAAACCAACGAGCACCAAAGGAAACCAGCAAAACAAACAAAGCACACCAAAGAAAAACCAACAAACAAACAACCAACAACCACAACCAAACCAAATAACATTCAAAGAAAAACAACAACAAAAACAAATAACAACCAACAAACAACCACAGAAACTCAAAAAAATACCAAAGGATGCCAAGGATTCGTCTCTCAAGGCCGGGTGCAACTGGGGGGTCCCGGCCACCAGCAATCGCGCAATGCACACGCGCTGCTCCACGGTGAGGCGGGTGCAAGCGCCGTAGTCGATGAGACCCAGGCGCCCATCTGGCAGCATAAAAACCTCAGGCCAGACCATGGGAGGTGGGGGGAGTGGGGTGGGGTGGGGTGGGGTGGGGTGTGGTGTGGGGTGTGGTGTGGTGTGGGGTGGGGTGGGGTGGGGGGGTGGGGGGGGGTGGAGGTGAGTCACAATCAAAACCCGGTATGGTCGATCCCCAGAACAATGTAAAGAATTGAGAAGGCGGCCGCAGTTACTAACCTTCATCTACCCGGGGTGGGGTGGGGGGAGTGGGGCGTGTGGGGTGGGTGGGTGGGTGGGTGGAGGGCTTCTTTTTACATTAAAGGGACGTACTTGAGTGTGGTTTGGCTGCACACCTTCAGTTAGAGAGTAGGGAAACACAATAGATTGTCGCAATCAATGGGGCAAGTACACACAGGGGAGCCATGAGCAGCGTTCAAATAACAAAGCGAATGGAAAAATCGGTGCGAGAAATCTGTGAGGGCAATATGTGGGGGTTGATCAAAAGGTCTTTACACGAAATCACCATAGGGCAACCACCCACAAAATACGCAACCACCCACCTACACGGGGGAAGTTAGCCGTAGTGATTTGGGGGCCAGGGATATTGATCAACCCCCATGTATGGGCCCCCTCCCCATGGTTCCCAGTCCTCCCCCCCCTGTGGTGTGGTTGGGGTGTGGTTTAGGGTTCATTCCCGGTTGGTCTAAGACCACCCCTCCCCCCCCTCTGTGGTGGGGTTGCAGTGGTTTAGACTTGGTTTTGGGTTGATCTAGTTGCAGTGAGGATGGTTTTAGGGTTGGTTTAGAATGTTTAGTGTTGGTTTAAAATATGTGTTTAGGGTTGGTTTAAGGTAGGTTTATGGTTGGTTTAGAGTGTATTTAGTGTTGGTTTAGGATGTGTTTTTATCCTTGTTGCAGGGGGTGGTTTAGGTTAGTTTCGGGGTGGTTCAGAGTGTGTTTAGTGTTGGCTTAAGGTACGTGCTTAGGGGTTGGTTTTATCCAAGGTTGGTTTAGGGTAGATTAAGTTGGTTCCGGCTTGGTGTAGAGTGTGTTCAGAACGTGTCAACTGTTGGTTTAAAGATGTGTGTTTCGAGCTCGTTTCGGGCTGGCTTGGGGTTAGTTTAGGGTTCGTTTGAGGGGGTGAAGGGGCCAGGGTCTGGGGACCGCAGCAGCAGGGCTTCTCCTGGGGATCGGGTTCTGGGGGGGGGGGGGACCATGCATTGCCAACAGCAGCGCCTTGGCAGGTACGACAGATGCGAAAGGAATGCAGCTGAGACTGGTGCGTTGCCAGCATGGGGGTCCGAGTTGAAGAGACCCAGTTGAAAGATCTCGTAGCCGTGGACATTGTAGAGCACCCTGCAAGGCGGAAGAATCCTCGTGGCGTGCCAACCAGCATCTACAGAGCTAAGCTTGCACGATGTGGTGCGACATGCTTCGCGGGCATCTTGAATTGATGCCTCTTTCAATTAGAATTCAAGGGCTAACCAATAGGAAACCAATCATTCGGATAAGTCGCCTATTGCAGGAAACCCCTGGGAGAACATGTATGGCACAAGTCACTCATTTAGATTCCATCACCACCCCTTTCCACACCAATATGTCATGAGCTGTCCCATCTACTTTCACCCAAATGCATATATGATTGAAAACAGGATTGTGCTTTCGGACCTTTTCAGGGTAGAAAGTTGGCTTCTACCAGGAAAACCGGACAAAGCAAGACCATGCGCTTCAACCGGTTCGCGCAGTCACTGTGTTGAGGTTCGCACCAAGTCCCAGATCTTTGGCTCAAAACAAATCGGTCTCCCTCCATTTTGCGTTTTCGCCCCCTGAAAAAAAGACAAAGATCTCCAGTCTTGCTACATTCCTTTAAAACCAAAAGGAGGGAAATATAAACAACCCTGGCTCGCCAATTGCTGCCTTGTCCATCCACTTTACCATCCAAAAACCGATCGCAACAGAGACTGAAAAAAAAGGCGATCGCAACTTGGCTTTCGGATGTTCTTCAGTAAATGGACGTCTCGCATCTCTCCTTTCGGAGCTTCGAGGCCCTCTTCGTTGGACCCGGGTGTCTTCGTTTTGGGGCCCAAGGCACCAAGGCCATGGGCATGTTGCCCAAGATCACCTCAACTTCGCCCCGACAAACACTCCCTTTAAAGCACCACCAAACTAAAAAACAAAACGCAGGGTGTTTATTCACAAACAGCCGCGTTCGAGATGATAGGGGATCCTTTGTATTGGACGACCGCCAGCGGCATGGGATGTCGTCCCGAACGCCGCCGGGACCCGACCCACACTTAGAGACCGCGCCTGGCGAGGCGGGGTCCATTGAGGGGCACCGGCATGGGGCGAGTCCACGCCGGCGACGACTGGCGAAGCATTTCAGTCAAACCGATCGGGCGCAACTCCGATCGAGTGGCTTGGACGGAAAAAGTAGCCAAACTTCTTCATTTGCCAAAGTGGCCATGCTAAAAAGTACTAAAAGTCCAGGAACTCAGGAAGTGAGTGGTACTAAAATGGTCGATTCCCAGAACCATGCTTTAAGAATTAAGAAGGAATTCCGCACCTATGGCTGGGAGTGTCCCTTGCTGATCTTCACGTACCCAGGCCTTGATTGTGGCTCATTTGGCCTGATCCTATCTTCAGGTTGAACCAACACCCTCCAAACAAAACCAAAATTGAGACCTGTTGACATTTGTTGACCTCCGGCCCTGGTGCTTGTGTTTCTTGTTTTCCGACTTTCGGGGTGAACGTTTCGCAGTGTTGCAGCCTAGCAGTTGCTGAAGTCTATCCATGCGGTCATGTTGAAGGGGAAGCCTCCCCAAACTGCTCTTTGAGCTACCCCGACTAAACATGAATCGAACAAGTCGGTTTTTGCTTCACCATGACAACCCTAAGTGTGCTGCTCCTCCTTTCGAGGCTCTAACCTAGAAACTGGAATGTCCACTTCTGTTTAGCTGAACTGTCACAGCCATGGTGCAAAATTGCGAATCAACGCGAGGTCTCAGAAGCAACAAATTGGGGGTGTCCAGTTAGTAAAGGACAGGCCGTTTGAATTGTGCTTTGACTGAAGAGTTGGTATAGCCCTGTGTGGTGGGCACTAAGGGTACTTGTTGCAAAGAGATTTGTTGGGGTGATGCTTAGCATCATCGTTGGCTACACGGGTGTGGGTGCTTTGCCTTTGGGATATATTATGCACGTGCACTCGTGTAATTCCCCGTGTTAATGATGTTGCTCCTAACCGCGCAGGGCATTTCAAACGTAAACGTGAGAGTGAACCTGCCGTGCATCAGTTGGTTGGCGTCATGAATGCCACAAACAAATGCAGAGGCGTAATGAATTGACGATGCGCGGGTTCCTTGCCTGCTTGTCCATGAAAAACACCCTTCCCCCATGTGATGGACACTTCATTCCATTTTGCAACCACCTCAAATTCCCCAATCAAGATAAGTATTTATTGTCTAGGGCTCTTCTCGTGTCCATTCGCCCCCCTTACCCCCCGGCCCCACCCCTTCCTCCCGCCCCCACCCCTCCCTCAAAGCGTAAGTATTTTTTGCTGCGCTGCGAAGGTTTCACCGAACATGCATGGCCTCTTCCAGGCCCGCACCGTTTTTGGCAGTCGCACAGACTGCCCGACTGTAACCCCAGGGTTCCCGACATTTCCCCCCAACCTCAAAAGAAATCTTATTCTTTTCACAGGGGCTGCCTGGATTTCCCCAAATCAAAAGTTGAGCAGTTTGCGAGTGGGCTCCTTTTGGGAGCTTCCCTTTCAAAGGAAATCGCTGGGGCATCCTTTGGCACAGGTGAGGGGAAACATGGGGAACCCCCCGAACCGAAATCGAAATCGGAGCCCGACAACTTCAGCTGGATTTTCTTGAGAAACCCGGGATTGAACCTGGGCCTTGAAGTTCCTGGCAATTATGAGCATGGTCAGTCACTTGAAAAACACTCAAAAGGAGCAAACGAAAACTTGCGAACCCAGAACCCTGGCCCCTTTTTGGATCGTTCGCAGAAGCAGCGGGTCCCTCAAAGGTGTCGGAACAAAGTCAAAAAGAGTCCAACGCTCGGACGGTTTGATCCCTTGCGAACATAAAGATTTGTGAGCCAGGACTGAACCAGCAGGTTGATTTTACTGAACCACCAGTTTAAAAATACAAATAGACAGCGGCAACCTCAACAACCCCAAAAACAAAACTGAGGAATCTCTCACCCCCCAGAAATCAAGTGGAAGCCGATCAAGTTGGGAGACATGTTTTTTTCCCCCTCTAAACCCCACTTCAAACTTAGGAGGCCCTGAATTGGTACTAATCTGCTTTTTTTGGGGGGGCATTCTGGGGAGAAAAGGAATTCTGCAGACAAAATAAGAAGGAAAAGAACTTGACAGTTTGAAACTGCTTCATTTTGGGGATGTTTTTGGTAAACCCAAAACCCTTTTGACTCTGAGGCTGGGCCAGGCTCACACGATAGCTTGCAGACTCCATACATCCGCACGTCGTAGACCCTAAATCCTAAAACCCTAAGTAGTCTTGAGGATGCCTGTATGTGCCGATTCAGCTCCATCCCGGGCTCTATCGCAAGGCGCCAAGGCCCCTTCCTTGTCCGCTCGCGCCGGACCCCCAGTGCAGGGGGGGACCTTCCCTGCCTGCATGCTTCGTCAGACTCCGTGTTGCCCTCCCACCCAACATGGAACCTGACGTTTCGGGGCCCTGGCTTCGACCATCTTCCTTCTGTAGCGACCGGGCCCTTGTCCGGTTCCATGTGGGTACCCCATGGAACAAAAATCCTCAAAGGATGGCTTGTTTGCTTCTTTGCATGCCCTCTTTTTGAACACCCACCGTAAAAAAATATCGCCCAAGCCGAGGGATTTGCACCCATGAGCCAGTGACGCCCCCAGCATCCAGCAACTTCCTAGATGCCCGAAGGCCCCAAAACCATAACCCCCACCAGAAAAAAAAAGAAAAGAAAAAAAAACACTCGGGGCCCCATCGAACTGGTCGAACTGTGGTTGGTGTCTGATTCGATTCTCCAACGAAAATACCCAAACAAGCTGGGTTTGCCCAAAGGTTGCTAAATGGTGCGAAATGGATTTCGTCCACATCAACATTGGAACTTGGCTATTTTGCACCTCTTTTGTTGTCGAAGCACGTACACTGAGGAACAATTTGAGCAAGCCTCACATTACAACAGCTTGGCAGTCCCTCTCAGTTTAAACATCACTGGGATCAAAGCTGTTGGGTGTTTTTCTTCCCATCGCCAGCCTTCGTTAAAGCTGCCTGCCCACAAAGGGGATAAGCGCGGTTTTAGCTGGGAAATGATGGCAGGCCTCCCCCCAGCCAACCTAAAAGCATCACCAAAAATCGGCCAATGTGATGGAAGTGCAAAGGCTTCTGGCTGGCCACATGTATGCCGATCGCTCGGCATACATGTGCATACACATCTATGCATACATGCGTTTGTGACCATGTTATGATGATGCGGCTCCTGTCTTTATGCCCAACAACCCCCCCCCCCCCCCGCCGTGGAACGCGGAACGTGCCGCGACGCTCCCCTCTGCACTGGAAAGCTTCCAGTTGGCAACGTGACCCGTCCGCTTCGGAACGCGGGTGACCCGAGTTGCCCAAGGCGGATTGACCCCGACAACACTCCTTGGTTGGAAGGCCCAAAGCAAAACTCCGTGACTGGTTGTTGAATGTTGGGGTCATCCCTTTTCCCACATCTCGGGTTTGGGTGGAACTTCTCGCCCCTCCTTAAGATTCCATCAAACCCTATGGTTGCTATTTGGGTGGCTCGGTTCAAGATTTTCGGAGTCGTTGAGCCCCCAAAGCATGGCAAGTCGGTTTTTCTGTTGGTTCCCCCAAATCAACCAAACTGTGGGCAACCTAAACAAAAGACAGACCCATTTAGCACGAGGTCACCTGAAGCCTTCCGAAGCTTAGAGAAGCCCCCAACCCCAACCTTGGTTCAAAGTGACGCCCGCAAGCGCCGCAAGCGGTGAGTCACCGCCTCAACCAAGAACCGAAAAACTGGGTCCCAAGTGGCGCCAGCTTCATGGCCTCCAACTTGTTTTTCGGGGTGGTTGAACCCCCAAAAAACAAAAACAATCGATTTAGCCTCCCTCTCTACCAACACCATGGCTCTTGACACAGGGTCCCTTACGAGGAAATTGGTCTTCTCCCGTGCCCGGTACCATGCCAGCGTGGCTCGAAAAAGATGCCACTCGAAATGAACCCAGAAAAACGCGCAGCCTGTCTGCGTGCTACTCAGGGCGCGTCGCTCACTCCCTGTCACGCACGGCTGTCCTGCGGGTGCAAAGACCATGGAGGCGTCATGGGCAATGAGGTTTACCTATGTTGCCCTTTGAATCAATGCAAAAAGAAGCCAACGGTGTAGCACTTGCAAAAAGCAAGGCCTTAGCCAAAAACACTCCTTCAACACGGATTGATACGGATTGTGTTGTCTGCTTGGAGGACACGAGGGTCCATATAGGCAGGCTAAACATCTAAGCTTCCTTTTGCGTCCCTCTCTTTTTCACCAATTACCAACTACAGCACCCGTTGCACAGGGATGCGTCGTCTTTACACCACCAAACCCATTTGCGAAGCTCACAAGACTGGCCCAAAAGGCTAGCAAAATACACGAAGCATCGAATCAACGCCTCACGGGTCCCGTTTCCCACCTAAAAACAACCCTTACCAAGGGAAGCTCAGCCTTGGCCAGGTGATGTGAAAAGGCCGCGCGGCCAAACATCTTGAAATGGAACTGCGGCTCCTCAGTTCCAACCCCAAACCCAGCTCTTGACCCACTAAAGATGTCTCACTTCGGATTGAGTGGATTGGCCAAATAAAGTCCCCCTAAACTTGTCATTCACCACATCCAAACCCAAAACTGCGCCCCAAATCCATAAAACTCAGGACGTGAGATGTTCAAAAACCACCAACTAACCCGAAAAGTGCCTTTTGTCCGCAAAACTCAGCGAATGAGCTGTTCAAAAACCACCAGCTTGGGATCAAGGGAGATGGATCGGACCCAAGGTCTTAGATGGCGAACTCGGTGGGCCGATAGAACTCGTAGTTCCAGATCTCCCAAAAGGTGTGCTGCGTCTCGCAGTACCTCGCATGCGCATGCGCCGCATCGGGAATTTGCGACCCGTGCGGAGTCACAGGTGGCGGCTGGTGAAAAAGCCAAAGGAACCCAAAGCACGGTGGGGTTTGGGAGGGCTTTCTTTTTGTGGAGCCCGTCCCTTTCTTAGAGTCGTCATTGCCTAAACGGGGTGTCGGCCGTCTGGCTCTCGGAGTCCCGAGCTTGATTCTCCTTTCCTCGGGCCCTGGAGGCTTCTTTGGTGGGAGGCGACCACAAAATCGAAAGAGCAGCGCGGGGACGCACAAAATGGGCCGATTGTGCGCAAAACAAACGTCACTTATATAGTGAAGGTCATACTGTGGATGGTTGCGACATCCATTTTGCGGCACCTAAGACGCCATGGCTGAAACCAGAACGTTTGTTGGGCAGAAGCAGGGGAAATCCGGGGTTTTCTTAGGTGGCGCGAACTGAAATCGCAACCATCCGCAGCATCGAGGCATCGTTGCTCGGAAGCCGAGCTGGCTGTGCTCGGAAGCCGCGATCCAATAAGGTCATTTCACTTGCACAAATCCTGGGACCATGACTCCGGTCAGACCAAACTGGCTAGCCCAGACAACCCATTGCGTGGGTGATACTCGCCCCTAATTACTAAACCCCCACTTCTTGTTAAGGGATCCCTTTTTAGCGGGGAATCCTTTCTTCCAGGGGAACCCTCTTAAGATTAAGTGTCGGGTTGATTTAATCAGCGGTCAACATTTGTACATTCTGGACTCCACCCAGCAAGGCTCTCAGCCAACATTGAGGTAGGTTTCCTCCCGGTCACGTCAGGTCCAGGACCGGGAAGGAAACCCGTCCGGCCCTAAACGCTCCTCTTCTTTCGATGGACACCGTCGAAAGTCGAAAAACTCTCCCACTCCCCTTTCCTCTGGGTCCGTTTCAGTAGGACATCCTCAAAATAACCCTCCAATCGGTGGTTAAGGGAAACCACTGAAAGCAAGACCCCTCCGAATGTTCAATTTAATGCTGGATTGTGAAGTCAACCCAAGACATTTCTTTTGAGAGCCCATCAACTCATCACATTTAAGTGACCCAGCTGGCAACTCCAGCACATCTTTCCAAAGGCACTTGCAGTTGAACGCCAGCGCGTCCTGTTGTTCTTCGCCTGCAAAAAAAAAGGCGGAAAAAAACCGACGAGTCGCGGATGCTGGCAATCTGGGTCGAGCAATACATCCAGTCCTAGCGAGGAGGCAAGGCGGCAAGCCGGAGAAAAAACAAAAAACAACTTGGGAACCTGACACATTGCACATTGCAATGCCTTGATACGTGCTGCCCAGGCTGGGCGGACTTCTGGTCAATGCTTAATGTTGACCGCGGACTCAATTGCAGTTCATCAATATGGGGGTAGTCCAGTGATGAAGTCCAACTAAAGCCAGGGTTTTACCCGCATAGAAATAAACAAGATGGTTTATTGATCCGGGGTTCAGCGCCTATACATTGTTTAAACATCCGTGTAGTTGCCCCTAAAAGGTGGCCAGGGTATGGTTGCTAAAACATTTGCCCAACGGAAGCGACACGCGGAAGTGTCACCAAACCAAATCGTACCCGCCCGGGTTTGCAGGCAAAGGTTTGTCCAAATGGAATTTGCTTACATACATGGGATGTCTCAAAATAGGGAGTTGGAGTCGCAAAATGGCGGGTTTTCCTAGCGCTTCCCTCAAAGTTGTAGTTTCATACCTGGCAAACTCCAAACATAATATGTTCTGATCCTACCCTAAAATACAAAACGGGTTTGGTGGAGCACGCAAGGCTTGCCGGAGGGTGAGAGACTCGCGACGACTCGCGCCTGATTGACGGCAGCGCTCGAAGAAGGCCTCCACTTCGTGTTGCATTTGGCTTGCGTGGGACACGCAGGCCGTGTTCTTGCACGAGATGTCCTCACCATCGAACACTCTTGCAGTCGGGCCGGGCAGCTGGGTTCCCCTTTACAGTCAACCAGCCAAAAAATCGGATGGATGCCTTTCTTTTTTCCCACGGCTTCCCCCAAACCAAACAGAACAACTGGACAAGTGGACAACTGCGGAAGCTCCAAGAAAGGCTCCGGAACCATGTCTTCCATTTCGGGGGTCCTGCTTCCACATTCGCCCGGGGAGGGTGAGGGGCATCCAGAGAATTGGGGACAGCTTCTGAACGGCCGAAAAAAATGCAGCACCTCAGCTCTCGACCTACGAAAATTCTATGTTGGGCAACTGGTCACTAAAGGAACATGTTTCGGGCAAGCAGTCACCTCTAAAAGAAAGACAACCACTAATTTTTCTACTGGTTGACTTCCCATTTTGGTTCAACCGTCGCCAAAACCAGCTGTTCTTTTTCTCGGGTATTGGTGGAAGGATCCCTGGAAGAATCGGGACAGAATCATAGCTCGGAAGTTCCGACGCTTGGCAACTTCCCACTCCAAAGGCCTCGCTCCATGGGCGCTAGCTTGCCTGTGGGCAGCGCTTTGCTCTCACCGAGAGTAGATTGATGCACAAAGGAGAGCCCAATGCAAGCAACACGGTTGTGCCTCTGTTCGAGGTTCGCCGTGTATGGTATTATATGCTTTTGTGTTTTTCTTTGGTGCGTGGGGGGAGGTAACAAAGGAACGCACAGGGTATCACCACCATTTTGGGATCCAAGATTTGGACACGTAACCACATGAGCGTTCCTCCAAGACACCTCGACTTGCCTTTTCGTTTTGGGAAGTCAGCCAGGAGACTCGAGCACTTCGTCGCTTCCAGGGCTAAGCCTGTTCTTCACAGCTGGGTGGGGGGGGGGGGTTTGAGGGCACCCTTTTCAACTTGCTTCAACAAGGGAGACCCAAAGGTTGACAACAAGGCTGCCCCTTTCCCCTCAATTTTGAGGAAACCCAAAGGTCGACAACAAGTTTGGAGGTCGCCCGATTTGAACCAAACTCATGTGTAAGAAACAAATCCATTTGGACCTCTTCATTTCGATTCGCCCTGTCGGCGAGGGCGAATATCTGTCACCTACCATCCTGCAACGCTCCCCCTGTCCTTGAAGTTGTAAACTCTCGGCGGGACCTTGCGAGCAAGTCAGCTTCCCTCATAAATACTGGATGGTTGCGAAATCCATTTCGCACCACCCAAGAAAGCGATGTACCGTTTTTCAGACCCAGTGGATGCGCGAGCGAAAAATTCCATTCGCACCACCGTTCAGAAACCCTGGAACGGTTCGATTCCCCTGGAAATACCAACAAACAGTGGACTCCCTTGGTTTCAAAGCGGTGGCGAAATGGATTTCGCCCACCCACAGTATGGCGTCTTGAAGCCGTCCGTCCGAATCGGTTTGGTGGCGACACGGAAACGGTTTCCCATTCCATCCTCCGCCAGAACCCGAACTTCAAATCCCGGCTTAGCCACCAAACCAAACAGGGATCCTTACATGAAAAACACCTGAACATTGCAACTTGTAAATGCTGGTCTCCAACTTTATTGTGGTGGGAAAAGCAACATGTTTCAAATGGTTGCAAAATGAATTTCTTTTCAGGCGCCCTGCCAATCCTCGGGGGAGTTTCCGTTCGCGCCTTTCGTCAGAACTCGACTCGCGGACTGTTGGCCAAGCAAATCGCATTCTCAGCACGACTCGTTATTGTCTAAAGAAACTTGGAAATGCTGATTCACCAGTAAATACCAGGAAACAAATGATGATACCATGGTTGAAACCATAACGCTTGTCGGTTGTCTAATTCCCATTTAGTGGGGTCCATGACCATGTCTTTCTTGGGTCGGCCAAGTTGGTGGTTGCTAACCTGGGGTATGGCCTACTTATAAGTCCCCTAACCGGGGGTATCGCCTACTTAGAAGTCGATCCCCCAAGTGGAGTTGTCACTGTTGTGCGTAGGTTATACCCCAGGTTACTAACCACTAACTCAACTTTGGCCGAACCCTTGCCTACTAATTCCCCCCAGCTGAAGCGGTGGGTTGGACCATGGGCAACATGTTGAAAGAACGCGGCCGCCCTAAAAGAACATCACGGGCGGGCTTGTCTCAGTTGCCCCGGATGGGACCCGGAAATAAAGAAAGACGAACAAGTTGTCCACGCGAAAAGGTGAAAAGGTCGGTTTGAACAACCGAATTGTTTGAACCCTGGCGGACACCTTGGTGTTTAAACAGGGGGTGAACAAATTGGCTACCTGTCGTTTCTGGCTGTGCTTCATGCGCAAAACTAAGGCTGACCCGAATTTATAAACCCGTCCCATTATCAAATGCTGCACCGCCTGCTGCTTGGCTGCTATTCGCACACACACACACATATATATGTACATATATACACATATTTGTCGTGTGTGTGTGTGTGGTTTTGTCCACTTCAGGGTCAATTGGGGCTTAAGTAGTTCAACACAAGGTGATGCTGAAAACCCAAAGGCTAACCACCTTGCAAGACGAAACGCCATCGACAACTCAGCGTGTTTACGCTTCCTGCAACTAACATAGCATTTCTGGGAGGCTACCTGGGGGTCGATTTCCTCTTCAAGGCAACCTCTGTGGGAGCGAATCAAACCCCTACGGCGTCCAACTGCCGACTGTTCCCTAACGCCGTGCGTTGCTTCACCGCTGCTTCCTTGCTCGTTTGACTAGGTGGCCCATCCCGCAAAATACAAGTCAGCGTTCCTCCAATTGGTGGCTTCGAGCGGATGGTTTCCCATTTATTCGCCACAAGAACCGGGGTTTCAAATCCACAAACCACCAATACAAACCACCAACTAAGGCTTAGGTGCCGGGACACATGGATTCGACCTAGGCTGAGGCTTCATTCCCTTTTTGGGATGGATGGTTTGAAAGGAAAACACTCCAAAACGGCAACCCCTCAAGTCCAACTGCACCTCCCCCCCCACCACAAAAATAACAAAAAACACACACCAACAAACCAACAAAGACCGAAGCTGCAGACCCTGCTGGGCATGCGGCATGCCGTCTTGTTTTTTCGCGCCTTTGGAATTTTTTCGGGCTCGTGCTCAAGGGTTAAGTAGAGAAGCCCTGAGTTTAAAAGCTTGAAGCTGGCGGTCGTGTCGTTGACACCTGGAAACCAAACCTTGGAACCTTGGACATGCGATTCGCCAAGCCTGCGAATTTAGAGAATAGTCCCAGAAACCTTCATCCTTCTACCCCCCGCCCCGTTGCCTCCAATTAAAAGAAGATGCGGGGTTGTCAAACTAGGACCTCCAAACAGGTGGCTTCCACCAAAAATAGTTTCCCCAAACTCGACAAAAAGGTACCGGGTACCGAGCCTCTACCAGAACATCCGGCGGCTAGGTCCAAAACGAAACACCCATTCCCTTCAACACATGTGCCATGCAAATTTAAATAGGGAATCACCTCAAATCCCCACCGAAATCTCATGTCCACAGGGTCTCTGATAATATAAAGTTTATACCATCGAGGCAGGCCCCCAGAAGCTTCCAGGGATCCAAAGGAGCTCAGCGCCAAGCGAGTTGCCCGGCCTGAAGCCGGAACTCGCGCTCCAGGCTGCCCTGCTTCATGACCTTCAAGGTGCTACCCGGCGCCATGGCCGCCAAGCGCCTCAGGTCGTGGGGGGAACTTCCCTCGAGTGGGTTGACCCTGGCTGTGGGGTCAAAAAAATGGAAACCAACATGGCACCTGGGCAAATAGAACCAAAGACTAAAACCTGCGTTGCTTAAGCCCCCTGGACAAAATAAGAACATATAAATCCAATAGTGAAATCGATTTCCTATCAGAACCCGGGGAAAATAAAACAACGAATTCCTTTCGGCAAATGGACGTGCCTCATGTTGACCCCATATGAATGTCAACCAAGGAATCCTGATGAAAACAGGTGGGCCACGGTTGGTCAAGGTAGTCTTACGACCCCAGATTCATCAACCTATGGGGGTGGGGGCCCCTCCACAAGTCAACAAAGTGGTCTGATTCCCCAAATTTCACACAAAAAAATAACCCCCAATTATTACTAAACAAAACCGGGGTTGATTCCTATGGCTCGCCCTGACTTGGTGGTTCGGAGCCAAAAAACCGGTGGTTCGGGCAGTGAAAGGGAGGGGTCATTTCTCCATAGCCTCAGGAAGGGAGCCGGTTAGTTGCCTGATCGGGTTTCTCCAGACTCCAAAATCTTGGAATAAGGCTGCCCACCTTTTTTTCAGTCGATTTTAGTAGGGGAACCCTCCCCCCAAAGTGGGTGAGAAAGGGCACCTAGCTGGGGGAGGAGCAGTTCCCGGATCGGGGTTTTCCAGACTCAACATCTTGCTGATGCGATGCGATAGGAAATGACCGAGGCAGGGTGTTGGGAATGAAACGGTTTTGGGAATTCCCTTGAAGGAAGCCATAGGATGGATGGTTTATGGGGGTCATTCCCTCAATTTCTGCTGAGAACCAGCAAGAAAAAAGTTGGAGTTTGGAGCCCGGTAGTTTGGTAATTTTCCGGGGTGGTGGAAACCCGATTCATCCTCTCACATCCAGCAGTTCAATTCCCCAACTACCAATCCAAACCACCAACTAGGGCTAGCGTTTGCTTCACTTCGGGATGTGTCTCCAAAACGCATCTTTCAGAATCTGCTTCATATTTGGCCGACCCCAGACATACAACATAGTTTTGAAGGAGACCCCGAAACAAAGAAACACTTCGAACTGATTCACTTTACAGCACCATGTGCTACGGGGCTAAGCAAACGGAATGCAGGTTTGAGGATGGCTTGAGGTTCCTCACACCCAAATTACTGTATGTCATGACATACACAAATTGGTCGATCCCGGATTGTTCCAGCTGGCAGACTAAAACTGCGGATGCACGAAATTCGCTTTGCACAACCTGAGACTGGATGAACATCCATGAATAGCGGAACACAGTGAACAACTCCCCCATTTCTCACTTCCTGAGTGGATTGGCCAAAAAGTTCCCACTATTTGTTTACCACTAAAATGGTCTTCCCAAAAAGTATAAAGTCCAGACACTTAAAAAGTGAGACAAACCAACCCATGTACTGGTGCCGGATATTCTGTCCATCCACACTCAATAGAGGTGCTTCCTGCCAAGCCCAGGTTTGCCTCGAACATAGAAAGCGCTGTTTCACAAACGTGGGGGGGGGGGGGGGATTGCACCATACTCTGGATGGACGAAATCCTGCACCACCTAAGAAATGGAAACGCTTGTTCGTTTGGTATTTACAAGGGAATCATAATTTCAGGATCAGGTATTTTTAGGTGGTGCAGGAATTTGTCCATCCACAGTATGGATGTGTCTTTTTTGTCTGGGCACCCCCCCCAAAATGTGCTTCTCCTTCGGGTTTTTCTTTAAAACCACCAAAATCAGGTACCCTCCAAAAGAAGAAACACATATATACTTTCACCCGACCACGGAATGCAGGTGGATTTGTCAATCGCCGCTATCTTGCGGGGGCCTCCCACGAGTGCCATGAGTGCCGCAAAGCCGCAGCTCATCACAAAATCAGCCTGATGAATCTTATGTCTGGTGTTTCTGCATTCCCCTTTTACATACCTCAGTTGTTCAAAGCAAATCGACCTTGTGACCTTTTGGTTCCTATTTTATTCCATATTTAGTCATGGCGCCAAAAGGTTAACCTTTTAGTTCTGGGTCCTTTGGGCAACTGAGATAATTACTCCTCTTACTGTTCATATCCTTCCTTAATGAGAGAGGCATGCACTGCTTACGAGTTTCAAAGGGCTGGTGGACATGAATGCTTACCTTCATATCCACTAAGGGCCCCCCACAAGGAATCATGGCCGTATCCAACGTGCGCCTTGGATCTGCAAGTTCTGCTTTAATCCCAAAAGCTGAATTTTAAACCCAAGTCTGTAGGACCTTTATCATGGCTTTCGCTCGTTATACCCCTGAATCGGTGAGCTCGTTCTACAAAAATCGGCAGCAACTTATGAGGTTTGAGGCTTTGGAGGTCTTCCAGGGGTGTGTTCGCCCTTTGGTTCGAACAAAAAAGGGGGGGTCCAACCCCAAACTCATCCAAAAATAACTCCATGTTGCAGGTTCCCCCTTTTTTAGTGGACCCGCGCAAGCGGTTGTTTTCCTTTGGTTTCCCTAAGCAATGGGTTTTCCCCACGATTCACACCAGGCCGCTTCAGGGGCTGCCTGTCCCAAGAGCTGATGTCTACGTCCGGCACCGAGATGAAGCCGCTGCCTTTGCCTCAAAAGGCGTGATGCCACCCCATTTGCTCACGTTGCTTGGCAAAATTGAAAATGTATCCAGTGGTGATAAAATCCCTTTAAAACTAGTAAGGGAAAACATAGCATATCGGTAAGCACATGGAAGAACAGTTGAGTAGTCACTCTCGGACCAAAATGAAACTACTGTGGATGGTTGCGAAAATCCATTTCGCACCACTTCGAAATCATGGGAAACCGCGGTTTGTTGGTATTTACAGGGGAATCGTCATTCCAGGGCTTCTTAGGTAGTGCAAAATGCTCGTCCATCCACAGTATGTCCAGTGTGATAAATTCCCATTAAAACAAATAAGGGAAACAACAGTATATCAGCAAAGATATGGAAGACCAGTTGACGCGTGTCGCATGCATATGCCTAGTCACTCGCATGCTTGCTGGAATTTCTGGAAGCCGTTCGCAAGCTGCTGGCTTCCAAGGTCCTGCTTCAACAATTCAAAGCGCAGGTGATTCTAGGGGTTGATTCCCCATTCTTTTCAACCATCGTTCTTTCCAAAACCGGCCGTTTTCCCCCAGTTTCCGGAGGCTTTCTAGAAAGACGGCTCCCTGGAAAGAATGGAATTGGAAGGTACCCCTAGGTGATGGTTCAGCGGCCCTCTTCTCAAACAGCCCAGTTTCAGATCTGAAGCAGCCTGCAGACTCTAAGGTTCGGCCGTTCAAACCAGCCAGGCTAAAAAAAAACTCCTATATCCCCCCCATCCCTTTTGACCCATCAGGCAAGAAGACGCGACCCAGGCAAGGACATTGCAAAGACCAATTCGCCCGTAGGTGCAAAGCAAGCAAAAACACAATCCTGTGTTTTGCTTGCTTCGCGATTCGCGGCAAGCTGTGCGAACCGAAACTTGCCGTGTAAGGCGATTGGTTGCAGGTCCGTGGAACGGACGGGGCCAAATGAAAACCAGCTTCCGCCTTCAGTGCGAGGCCTTGGCCTTTTGAAGCTTTGGCGCTCTCTGGAATTCAGATTCTCAGTTGTTCAGTGACCCTGGAAAGAAGGGGAACCCTTTTGGGGCTTGGACCATTTTTAGTGGGGCCACCAAAAAAAAGGGGGACAAGAAAAAGGCTTGGTGCCACGGAAGAACTGAGAATTGCTCGGACTTTCCCGGCTATCAGCTCTGAGTGGAGCTTCTGCATTCTCTCTGGGGGATCGAATCTCCAAACCGCCAGCTTGGACAAGGAAACCCGAGAAGCTTGAAACAGAACGGCCGCAACGAAGCACCAAGGGATTTGCCGGGCTTGCTTGCCCCTAACAGAAGCCAGGATTTTCTGAGAAGCCCATCCCTGGTGGCTTCATGTTTTTGAAGGCCCAGGCTTACAAGCCTAAAACCCCATGACGCAATGGCATGAATAGTGTGACATTGGCATTGGGGAAGTCGGTGTGTTCGCTGAAACAACTTGCAGGGTGACATGACGGGTAACATGGCCGCCTAATCTGGACACCAAGTCAAATCCCGGTCAGCCCCCCGCGTTTGGGGAGCTTTTCCGAGTTTATCACGAATGACCCACCACATATGTGGCACCATTCCAGGCCCAAAAATGGGCACCATTCCCCTTGCGTTTTTCTAGAATCCCTCTTGGACAACATCAGCAGTCCCCAGCCGGACCCCAGGAGCTTTTCCACCCTGTGGGACAGGAACCTATCCACCTTGAAACACAAGGCTTGCCCCCCAGCAGGCCATGGCTCAAAATCCAAAGCCCGTACCCCCAGTGAACATCCCAATCCCCACTAGTGTTAACCCCGGATTAATAAACCCCTGTTTGATGATTAGGGGGGTGTCCCCTTTTAGTGCGGGGATTCATCACTTTTGGAGAGAACACCCCCCTACTAATGGGACGTTGTTGTTTTTTTTAAATCATGGGTCAACGGTAAAGACTAAAACGGGTGAATTCACCTACCCCCCTTTTTTGGGATCCCATGAGTTTTGACCACCGCCAACCTCCCAGCGCACCCGGTGAGTCGCCCCGTTCGAATCCTCGCCTGGGAACTTGGTGGATTCCCGCACGCCCTGGCCCCCCACGCCGTGGAGGTCCAAGATGTCCCGGACCATGTACATGAGGCTCCACACCTGGCAGGCCCCCGACCGTTCTTTGTTTTTGTGGGTTCAGCTGTTCGACTTCGCAGCCGGAAAAAGAAACAACGAACCTATCCCAACCTCTTTCTTTCTCTTCCTGCGCGGACCTTCAGCTGTTCAACTTCGCAGCCGGGGAGAAAAACAAGAAGAACAAAGCGCGTCAGAACCAAGCCAGCGGCCAACATGAAGTATGAGAAAAGCGCGAAGGAACTGGCGCCGGTTGGCGACCTATTTCCGATCCGCCCCCAGGGCAGGGACGCCCACCTGGCGCGGTCCTGACCCCCGTGCCTCTGATTTCAGAAGCTGATGTGTTGCCCTCGGGACTGGGACCCCGAGTCGCCAGAGTTGGGCTCTGGAGCTATTCTTGTTCCAGAAAGACCTCTCTCTATATATATATATATATATAACAGCAGTTTACTGGCTAGTTTTTATTGCGCATATTGGATTCAGAGGAGCCGAATTATTCAAAGCAACGTAAGTAAAATGTGGCCGGACCTGTTTTTATGGCCGCAGAACTGTGCAGCAGCCCCTGCAAACTATCCATCTAGGTGCTCATCGTGCATCAAATACGGTTGAAGATGCCCGAGCCCTCTTGCCTCAAAAAGGATCACGCTTCCAAAATCGCTTTCTCATCAACCGACCCTCATAGCCTGTTTGCCTTGTCCGTAGACAACCTCAAGCAGGGTACCAGCATAGGAAGCTTCTTGTCTTCTTTTGGGGGAACCCTTGTGGGGGGTTTGAAGGAATACCAGGAGGCCGAATCCATTTTGGGAGTCCCTAAAGTTAGGCGCGCCCAGGTTATTCAGAATGGATTCGATAAACTCAGCAAGATTCACCTTAGCCTGGAATCTAGACAATGGCTTGGCGACGCTTTAAGGGCTTATTGGGACCCCCCCCCCTCCCCTCAGCCCCCATGATGGAACACCGATAGAAACAGATCGAAGTTGAGAGTCAGTCCAAAGCCTGAAGTACGGGATCATGGCTTCCGCGGCAAACAAATGCCAAAGTGTCAAAGGCCGGCCGAACCTCACCCTCAGCTGCCCAAAGAATCCAGGATAACCTGTTGGCACCACGAATATTAACCCCGGATAAATAAGCTCCTGGTTGATCAATAGGGGGGTGTCCCCTTTTGGTGGTTCATCACTATTGGAGGGAACACCCCCCTAATGATGGGAATGGTTTATTAATCCTGGGTGATCATGGAACATGAACCAAATGATGCAAAGCAAAATCATTTCAAGTCGATTCGCTTTGGGCAACTGAGCTTTCCCGTTTCACACCTCACCTGCTCAATGCTCTGGCCGGCGGCCAAGTTGTCGATGATAATGCCGTTGGCGATTGGCACCAGACCCACCTGACATGCCGTTTTCTGGACCCCAATTCCGGCCACGCAATGACATACTGTGGATGGGCGAAATCCATTTCGCACCACCCAAGAATCATTGGAATCATGTGGAATGATTCGATTCCCCTGCAATTGTGACTGGTTTCAACCGTGGTCTCGGATTTCGGGAGCAGCAGGTACACCCTTTAAGGTCACCTCGGTTGGGACATCCGAGGCCTGAGGCACACTGAGCCGGGTGAGGAGACGCCACGAACGGTCCAAGAGAAAACCTGAGCCAGCGCCCTGGGTTTTGCTGGGTTGCTGGCGAGACCCCCGAAAACCCCGTTATTTCCCAAAAAGTTAAAGTCTAAAGATCCAACCCAATAGCAGTCAAGTTTGTGTGGGAGCTGCAAGAAACTCCCGGTTTCTTGCAAGCACGGCTCAACATGTCACAGCAGCACTTGTGAAATGTTCAACCGCGGCAGGTTGACTTCAAAAGGTGCGCTCTCTTCGGCTTGCAGCCAAGAGACAATTATTTGGAGGCCCCCGATTGACGGAGAATTCCAGTGGGCTCAAAACAAGAAGAGCTTGGGGGGAAAACGAAAAAAATCAACTGGTTGCTTGGTTTTGCGCTCAAGCATCCAACATGCAATGACTGTGGTAAAGGCTTGTTCCACTTAGATAAGCACAAGAGTGCCTGTGCAAACACAAATATGCAGTCTGATATTCCCGCAAGGTTGCCCACGCCCAGAATGACAGAACGCGCGCATCGGCATGTTCTTTCTCAAGCCCTCCTTGCCCTGCTCACATTGCTTATCGTTGGCTTATCCGCTCAAATATCTGGCCCCAAAAGGGCTGCAACATCTCTATTTGCTCCTGGCTGAGGTGTCCTTTTCGAGCATACCAGCGTAGCCGGCGACACCGGTTCGCCTGCCTTGGTTGCTGCACGACCCCTCTGCAAAAAGTGTATAACTCTTGTGGGTTAAATGGAAGTTAAAGTCTGAAAATCCCAAAGAATAGTAATCAAGCCTGCCTCCTTTCCTCCTGCTGCGTCTCGTTCAGAGCCGATCGCCTCTCCGAGTCGAAGTAGCGCGGCTTGCGCTTGTGTTGGAGCAGCCAGGCACACAACTCCTTCAGCCATTTACTTCGCTCCTTGTGAACATCCGGAACGGAAATATACGCCCAGAAAGGCTCTAGCATGGCCAAATGCTCCTGGCTAAGGCTCCCTTGTCGAGCCAATCTTCGAACAGTTTGGCATCTCCGCTCCTGTTTGCTTTCCTCCCGCTCCGTCTCATTGTTACCAAGGCAACGAGGCTTGCGTTTGTGATGGCGCAGCCAGGCACACAACTTCTCCAGCCATTCACCTCGCTCCTTGTGAACATCCTGAACGGAAATATACGCCCAGAAAGGCTCTAGCATGGCCAACTGCTCCTGGCTAAGGCTCCCTTGTCGAGCCAATGCTCGCACAGCTTTGCATCTCCGCGTCTGCCTTCTTTCCTCCAGCTCCGTCTCATTGTTACCAATGCAAGACTCAAGGCAACGAGGCTTGCGCTTGTGATGGCGCAGCCAGGCACACAACTCCTCCAGCCATTCATTTCGCTGCTGCTGCACGTGATCAGCTGATATATACGCCCAAAAAGGCTTCAGCACGTCCAACTGCTGCTGGCTAAGGCTCCCTTGTCGAGCCAATCTTCGCACAGTTTGGCATCTCCGCTCCTGCCTTCTTTCCTCTAGCTCCGTCTCATTGAGACCAATGCGATATTCAACGCGGCGAGGCTTGCGCTTGTGCTGGCGCAGCCAGGCACACAACTCTTCCACCCTGGCGTTTTGTTGCTCTCGCACGCCACAAGCAGAAATATAAGTCCAAAAAGGTTTCAGCTTGCTCAACTGCTCGTGGCTGAGAAGCCCTCGCCCGGACAAATCTCGCACATTTGAGCATGCTTGGTTCTGCTTTCTTTCCTCCAGCTCTGACTCATTGAGACCAGCGCACAGTGCAAAGTAGCGCGGCTTGCGCTTGTGATGCCGCAGCCAGGCACACAACTCCTCCAGGCAGACGGCCCGCCGCTCCTCCACACCAGTAGCTGAAATGTAAACCCAAAAAGGCTCCAGCATCTCCAACTGCTCCTGGCTGAGGCGCCCTCGCTGTGCCCACCTTCGCACAGCTTGGCATCTCCGCTCCTGTTTGCTTTCCTCCCGCTCCGTCTCATTCAGACCAATGCAAGATCTTGGGCGACGAGGCTTTCGCTTGTGGTGGCGCAGCCAGGCACACAACTTCTCCAGCCATTCACCTCGCTCCTTGTGAACATCCTGAACGGAAATATACGCCCAGAAAGGCTCTAGCATGGCCAACTGCTCCTGGCTAAGGCTCCCTTGTCGAGCCAATGCTCGCACAGCTTTGCATCTCCGCGTCTGCCTTCTTTCCTCCAGCTCCGTCTCACTGTTACCAATGCAAGACTCAAGGCAACGAGGCTTGCGCTTGTGATGGCGCAGCCAGGCACACAACTCCTCCAGCCATTCATTTCGCTCCTTCTGAACATCCTGAACGGAAATATATGCCCAGAAAGGCTTCAGCATGTCCAGCTGCTCTGGGCTGAGGCGCCCTTGCCGAGCCAACTTTCGCACAGCGCTACACCTCCGCCATTGCTTGTTTTCCTCTAGTTCGGTCTCATTAAGATCCTGCACCGGGCTCTTTGCAAGCGGCTTCCGCGCATGGCGGCGCAGCCATGCACACAAATCCTGCAGAGTAGCATCTAGATCAGCAGCGCTTGCCTGCCATCCCTGCTGCTCCAAAGAATGCTTACACGCCTCCCAGGTGCAAGCTGTAACCGCCATGTCTTCCCCAAGCAGTTGCAAAGGCTTACTGGCATTTGCAGTGCCAAACCAGTCCGACATCATATCGGCTCGCTTTATAAATGCACGCCTCATCCCAGGTGCGCAGAACGTCTGCACGTAATCAACCTTGGAGACCCTGTCACGCATGTTCATGGCTTCCAGGGCCAACTTCCTTAGCAAAGGACCTGGAAACAAAAAGGTCAACAATTTCACTTAAACTGTGGGCGCGGGTTGAAAAGGGACAACGCCCAAACTGGTGGTTGTTTTTCCTGTCAAAAGCAAACAAAGCAAAAAAGGTCCAACTGCAGGAAAGCTGGGAAAGCTCCCTTTGGGCTGGCATTTCAAGGGAAGCAAAAGGACACCAAATGACACCAACTATTTTCAAGGGGCAATGGTTTGAGACCCCCCCCCACCACATGGGTGCGCTTTTTGGGAATCGGACACATGGATGGTTTCGCGTTACTTTTGGTTTATCTTAAGCCCAAACACGCTATGACTGCAATTGCTTAAGCCTGGGAACACAAAAGCATGTTTCCAGTAGTTGTGAAAACTGGGAAAATCGTACAAATGGGTGAAAAAGCACCTTCATAAGCAAATGGATCAAACAGGCACATATTCTTATGCAAATGGATGAAAAAAACACACGCATTCTTAGGCACAAAGGCAAACAAAAAAGAACATCGCGACCCTTGCTATGGGCTTGCAAAAAGCTGACTGTTTTTTGCAGCCCCCAAGCCGAAAAATGAACAGAACTAAAGCACCAAAAGAAACACCAAACAAAACAACTTGATTCAAGAACGGTGAGTTTGGAAGGAAGCACATATTCTTGTGCAAATGGATGAAAAAGCAGGCGTATTCTTGGGCACAAAGGGAAACACAACGGAAGTCGGAAGGCATGGAAATCCGACTCATTGCGTTCTCCTCCCGTGTCTTTAGGCTTCTGAGCTGCGGGTACGGCGGCCTCGTGTTGCGGCTCACGCAGAGCAGGCACCGGAGGCCGCTGGGTAAACCCGAGAAGCCCCGGGTGACACACCTCGGCGTGCGGAAACGAATCGGGGACCTTCACAAAAAAAGCTCCTTGTTTTGGTTGCAGACCGGAATTCCTGAACATGAACAGCACCAACAAAAAACAAAGGAACAAACCAGTACAACCCTTGGTACGGTAGCAAAAAAAGTCTGGATTTTGCAGACCCCTAACCTCAACATTAACAGAACCAACAAAAACCGAGAAAACACCAAAACAACCCTTGGTATGGTAGCACACAACGCCTGGTTTTTTTGCAGACCCCTAACATGAACAGAACCAACAAAAATAAGGGAACAACACAGTACATCCCTTAATATGGTAGCACACAATGCCTGGTTTTTTTGCAGACCCCTAACCTGAACAGAACCAACAAAAATAAGGGAACAAAACAGTACATCCCTTAATATGGTAGCACACAACGCCTGGCTTTTTTGCAGGCCCCAAACCTGAACAGAACCAACAAAAATAAGGGAACAAAACAGTACATCCCTTAATATGGTAGCACACAACGCCTGGTTTTTTGCAGACCCCTAACCTGAACATGAACAGAACCCCAAAACCGAAACATGGCAAGAACATTGAATATTTTTTTGCCACGAAAATGGGTGCTGAAAACTTCTTTTTGACCACGAAATGAGACCATAGTTGAGACCGAAATAAAGACCAAAGCAAAACCTGGAACTTGAGAGTGAGGAGAAAATTATTGGATACCTTTTCAGTGAAAAGGGTAGACACGTTGCGCCATTTGGAGGACCCACTTAAAAAAGACACCCCCATATTAGGTATGGGTCGAAATGAGTCACCAGGAAATGATTTGAACTGGGTTGCCAGAAATTGGTGGCAACCCTTAGGGGCCTGGAAACAAGATATGAAGGACACCCAAAAAGGCAAACAGCGAGAAAGGTAAGCCTTTGGTCTGGCAAGCCCGTAATGTTTAAATTTGTAATGTGGAAAATGTTAGCTGTGCAAACGACCTGCTGCTCGCGAAACATGTTGTTCGCTTCGCGCGCGTGGTCGCAGGGTCACGCGCACAAGCAAAAGGTATGGTGCCACGCATGGTTCGGGTATGATCCGGGTATGATTCGGAAGCACGGTTTTCTGCAGTAGAAGTAGTAGTCTACGTAGTAGTAGTAGTAGTAGTAGTAGTAGTAGTAGTAGTAGTAGTGTCGTT